AGTCATAAATCAATTACCACTTTAAAATTCCTTTTAGGTTCAAATTTTGTTCATTCTCTGCCAGAATTTTAGTGATCAGACTTTACTACATTAGTAAATGCTCAAAAAAGCACCCAATGAAATATTTCATGACATTTAGAAAGATACACATGAGAGGAATTGAAGGACTTTAGGAAACAGTTACATATTACTCTTCTCTTCAAAGTTTGTACATGTTATGTTTGACATAAAATGTATGCACCATGATTTATGTTATATTATACCTATGTCCAATTAGTTCTATATTTCTTAATCAGTGAGATCAACACCAGATTTTCAATTTATTTCATTAATAATATTGAATTAATATCTCTTTTGAAAAAATAGTGTCAAATTATTGTGCAACTATCATTCAACAATATTTTTAAATTTGAAGTCTTTAGCCATTCTGTTTTTCCTAAATATTCATTTCTATTATTTATTATATATACAATGTTATTTTGTCTCTTTTATTTTTTAATCAAATTTTTATTTTTTATATTAATTACTCTTTATTCATCTTGTATCCCAGCTGAAGCCTCCTCCCTCATTCCCTCCCAATCGCACCCCTCCTCTGTCATCTCCTTTGCTGCCCCTCTCCAAGTCCAGTGATATGGGAGGTCCTCCTCCCACTCCATCTGAGTCTAGCTTATTAGCTCTCATCAGGACTGGATGCATTATCCTTTTTTGTGGCCTGGCAAGACTGCTCCCCCCTAAGGGGGAGGTGATCATAGAATCAGCAATTGAGTGCTGGTTCAGTGTCCTTAGACATCAAAGAAATGCAAATGAAAACAACCCTGAGAGTTCACCTTACACCCATCAGAATGGCTAATATAAAAGACTTAAGTGACAATGTATGATAGAATGGATGTAGAGAAAGAAGTACCCTCCTCCTTTGCTGGTGGGAATGTAAACATGTACAACCTCTGGCACTTTCTCAGACAATTAGGAATAACCCTTCCTCAAGATCCAGCTATTCCACACCTAGGCGTTGAGACATTCTTTATGCTGCATACTGATTTTTTTATACTTCATTATGCATATTGTTTTTTTTATTTTTTTTAATTAAACATTTATTTTTATGTTAATTACAGTTTATTCACTTTGTATCCCAGATATAGCCTCCTCATCCCTCCAAATCCCACCCTTCTTCCCTCATTTCCTCCTATGACCCTTTCCAAATCCACTGATAGGGGAGGTCCTCCTCCCCTTCCATCTGACCATAGCTTATCTGGTCTCATTCTAACTGGCTGTATTGTTCTTCTCTGTGGCTTGGCAAGGCTACTCCCCTATCCAGGGGAGGGGATCCAAGAGTTAGCCACTGAGTTCTGGTCAGAGACTGTCCCTGTTCCCCTTTCTAGGGAACCACTTGGATATAGAGTTGCCATAGGCTACATATGAGCAGGTGTTCTAGGTTATAACCATGAATGGTTCTTGGTTGGAGTATTAGTCTCAGAAGAAAACACCTGTGCCCAGATATTTTGGTTCTGTTGCTACGCTTGTTGAACCCCTGTCCTCTCCAGGTCTTACTATCTCCCCCATCTTTCCTAAGATTCCCTGCACACTGTCCAAAGTTTATGAGGGTCATTATTTGCTTTTATACAATGCTGGGTAGAGTCTTTCAGAGGCCATCAGTGGTAGGCTCCTGTTTTCTGTTTTCTCTTTCTTCCAATGTCCATCCCATTTGCCTTCCTCAGTGAGAATTGGTCATCTTATTCAGGGTCCTCCTTCTAGCTCACTTTTTTTAGATGTACAGATTTTTGTAGGTTTATCCTATATTATACTGTGTGTGTCTTCCTGTTTCTGGAATACTTCACTCAGGATGGTCTTTTCTAGTTCCCACCATTTGCCTGTAAATTTCATGATTTCTTTGTTTTTAATTGTTGAGTAGTATTACATTGTGTAAATGTACCACAATTTCTATATCCATTCCCCAAGTGAGGGACATCTGGGTTGTTTCCAGGTTCTGACTATAACAAATAAAACTGCTATGAACATGGTTGAACAAATATCCTTGTGTACTTGAGTATCTTTTGGATATATGCCGAGGACTGGTATAGCTGGATCTAGAGAAAGCAGTATTTCTGATTGTCTGAGAAAGCAGCAAACTGATTTCCAAGGTGGTTTTACAAGTTTACATTCCCACCAGCAATGGAGGAGGGTTCCCCTTTTTCCACATCCTCTCTAGCATGTGTTTTCACTTGAGTTTTTGATCTTAGCCATTTTGATGGGTGTAAGGTGAAGTCTCAGGGTCATTTTGATTAGCGTCTTCCTGAAGACTAAGGAGGTTGAGCATTAAAAAGACAGCATCCTAAACAAATGGTGCTGGTCTAACTGGATGTCTACATGTAGAAAAATGCAAATAGAACCATTTTTTATCACACTGCACAAAACTAAAGTACAAATAGATCAAAGACCACAACATAAAACCAGTTAGAAGAAAAAGTAGGGAAGAGTCTAGAAGTCATTGGCACATGAGACAACTTCCTGAACAGAACAGCAACAGCACAGGCTCTAAGAGCAGCAATCAATAAATTATGAAACTGAAAAGCTTCTATAAAGCAAAAGCCACTGTTGTCACAACAAAATGACAGCCTACAGACTGGGAAGGGATCTTCACCAACCCTATATCTGACAGAGGGCTGATATCCAGAATATATAAAGAACTAAAGAAGTTAAAAAGCAACAAATCAAGCAATCCAATTTAAAAATGGGGTACAGAGCTAAACAGAGAATTCTCTGTAGAGGAATACAGAATGGCAGAGATACACTTAAAGAAATGCTCAACATCCTTAGCCATCAGGGAAATGCAAATGAAAATGGCCCTGAGATTTCACCTGACACCCAGCAGAATGGCTAAGATCAAAAACTCAAGTGAAAACACGTGCTGGAGAGGTTGTGGAGAAAGGGGAACCCTCCTCCATTGTGGGAATGTAAACTGGTACAACCACTTTGGAAGTCAATCTGGCATGCTCTCAGACAATCAGAAATGTACCTCCCTCAAGATCCAGCTATACCAGTCCAAGGCATATATCCAAAAGATGCTCAAGTACACACAAAAGACATTTGCTCAACCATATTTGTAGTAGCTTTATTCGTAATAACCAGAACCTGGAAACAACCCAGATGTCCATCAAGGGTGGACTTGATACAGAAATTGTGGTACATTTACACAATAGAATTCTACTTAACAATTAAAAACAAGGAAATCATGAAATTTGCAGGAAAATGGTGGGATCTAGAATAGATCATTCTGAGTGAGGTATCCCAGAAGGAAAAACACACACAGTATATACTCATTCATAAGTGGGTACTAGACCCACAAGATAGAATAAACACTGAAATTTATAAACCTAAAGAAGATAAACAAGAAAGAGGACCCTGGGTAACATGATCAATCCTCACTTACAAAGACAAATGGGATGGACATTGGAAGAAGGAGAAAACAAGTAACAGGACAGGAGCCTACCACAGAGGTCCTCTGAAATACTCTACCTAGCAGTGTATCCAAGCAGACACTGAGACTCATAACTAAACGTTGGGCAGAGTGCAGGGAATTCTATGAAAGAAGGAGGAGTTTGTGTGACCTGGAGAGGACAGGAGCTCTGTAAGGACTAAATATATCTGGGCACAGGGGTCTTTTATGAGACTGTATCTCCAACCAAGGACCATGTATGGATATAACCTAGAACTTCTACTTAGATGTAGCCCATGGTAGCTCATTATTTAAGTGGGTATCCTAGTAAGGGGAACAGGGACTATTTCTGACATGAACTCAATGGTTGGCTCTTTGATTCCCCGATCCCCAACTCCAGAAGCAGGAGCAGCCCTATTAGGCCACAGTGGAGATCATTGCTGCCAGTCCTAAAGATACCTGGTAAACTAGGGACAGATGAAAGGGAAGGGGGACCTCTCCTATCAGTGTACTTGAAAAGGGGCATGGAGGAAATGAGAAAGGAGGGTGGAGCTTGGAGGGAATGAGGGAACCAGATGCAGCTGGGACACAAAGTTAATAAACTATAACTAATATTAAAAAATAAAAAATTAATGTAAGAAGTGGGAAATAGTAAGAGCTGGAGAGGACAGGAACTCCACAAGGAGAGCAACAGAACAAGAAAATTTGAACACAGGGAACTTCCCAGAGACTCATACTCCAACCAAGGACTATCCGTGGAGATAACCTAGAACCCTGACAATGCAGCCACTTCTGATGAGAACTGATAGACTAAGATCAGAAAGAAGGAGAGGAGGACCTCCCCTATCAGTGGACTTGGGGAGGGGCATGCATGCAGAAAGGGGGGAGGGTGGGACTGGGAGGGGAGGACGGAGGGGCTTATGGGGGGATACAAAATGAATAAAGTGTAATTATAAAAGTTAAATAAAAAATTAAAAAATAACACCAAAATTTTCCAGAAAAAAAAATTAATGTAAACAAGAAAACCTAAAAGCTTGCCCCTAGGGACATGCACCTTCCTGCAAAATGTTACACCTCATAATCTTTACTAAAGAGTCGGCTAACAAAATAAAATGTTCTATAAAATTCTCCTCTAAGAGACGGGAGAAAGCTAACAAGACCTGCAGTCTGAACAGTACTATGATAAAACACGGTTTTCTGTACACATAGAGCAGTTCAATCTATGAATTCACAGCACTTGAGACAATTCAATAGATGTCTGCAGGCTTAAGCCAGACTAAATTCCAGCATAAAGTGTCAAGGTTAGAATATAGAGACACCCTCAGAGTTTTTGGCAACTGAGAGCTATTGGGAGGATAGTTTTCTTTTTCAGGGTGTTTGTTTGATAACCCTTAAGTGACATCCACAAGCCCAAGAGCAGATGAGCATCACAGTTTAGATAGGTTAATTACACAAATTTGGGTCATTAAGGAAGAAAGAATGGATATAGGAAAAGTGGTAGGTGTGAATATAATCAAAATACATTCTAAAAATTATTTAAAGAACTAATGAAAATGAAAAAACATCTTTAACGTGAGCTGGGAATAATTACAGTGAAGGTGCAATAGATCTGAATCTCGTATAATTCTTAAAAGAGATTGAAATGCAGTTTGAAAAACATCATTCTTTGATACTAAGCAAATATGTGTTAAATGGGAAATAAAACACACTGGGAAAATATTTTCTACAATGAATAGTGGTAGTGGTTCACATATATAAATCAAGTATGATTTTTAATTGCTATGGTGAGCTATTTCAAGAATATGGTAATGAAATATGATATCTAAGTTCCTAAACAAAAGGAGGAAAACATTTATCTCTGACTTCTATTCAGATAATTTTCATTTGTCATGATATTAAGGAATCCTTGGTAGAAAAATGGGTAGAAAAATGAAAGCTTTTCATTTTTCCTTTACCTTCCTTTACCTGTCTCATTAGAAATCTCATTCTCTGCGCAAGGAATGCAGTTGTAGCAGCAAACAGCCTTGCCCTCCAGAGTTGCTTTCCTGAATCCAGGCCCACAACTCTCACTGCACACAGACTTAGGAATCTAAGAAGAATAAGGGAACATTGTCTAATATTTACAGTTTTAGGAAAATCACAGTAAAGGGTTTTTTAATATTATGCAATGAATGTTCAAGTATTGTTGTTAGAAATATAGAAAAACATTTAGGAATGTGATATCCTTCAGAAGGCAAACCTGTTTAAAGATTAGTCTGAGTATTATCACAGAGTTGGAAAATTTCGAAGCTTAATGAGTGAAACAAATTTTAGAAAAATAGATCATTGGGGAAAAAAGATATAGAAAGGCATAGGTTCTCTCCAGACTGATACAGCCTTTGTATTTACTGACTACTGTGTTGAGCAGCATTACTTCCAACATTTTGCTTACTGTAAATGTGTGTGAACAGATAAACTCTATCTCTGCTTCCATGCCTGTTTTCTTGGCTACCCCTTGCTGTCATGGTGCTATCCATAGTGGACTCTCATAATTCTGGAATCATAACCAAAATATATTTTCTTCTCAATGTCACCTTTGGTCATGGTGTTTAATAAAAGCAATAAAAAGTAATTTTATATTGTTTCATAATGTTAATACCAAATGAGAGATTTTCTCAATCAGATCAACCTATGAGACATTTTGGTGACTGTAAAACCGTGCTTAAAAGTGTCCCAAATTTGTGTCAAGTTGAAAAAAACAAACCCTTATATGAGAGAACTTTGGGATTCATTTAACACTAAATATTTCCATTGATCTGAATCAAGGAAGGGGAAAAACCATTATGCAAATATTTTTGTGATAATTTATGCTGGCATTTGGAGAGTGATGTGCCTTGGGTCAGACAACAAGTGTCATTATATCAATAATCATAACTTTATTATCAACTTGAGATTGAAGCCTTGACAAAATATATAACCCACCTCTGAAAATATTTCTGGCCATTGTATCATCTGCTCAGATAATGATAACTGTTTGCCCTGAAGAGCATTTGCAGAAAAAGTTCCTACTTTCTTCTTTAGTCCAAGACCCTTTGGAAAATTCCAAAGATTAAAGATGTTATAGTCTTCATTTAACTTCTCTCTCCAATATAAACTCATGTTGTCTCTCACATGAATGTCTCTCAGGAAAGAGTTAAGCTGAAAGAGATTCATGAATTTATATTAAACTGTGTCCAAGAGGTAGAACAGAACCTGTGCTATGGAATATCTCTCATTATTTTCAATCTCTGATGTGAAATTCAACATTAATTAGGGTTTAAATGATGTGGAGTAAATAAAAGCCTGGATTAGTGGGATTGTGAAAGAGCATTCCCTTCAAGAGAAAATTTTGAACCAAGGTCACATAGTGAATCCATGACTGCTGACTCATGCATGCATTAATTCCTTTAAAAGCCAGTCAGATAAGATCGGGTGCATTCAGGGTGGTATGGCTGTAGAAAAGATCATCCTGAGTGAGGTTACCCAGAAATAGAAAGACACCCATGGTATATTCTCACTTATAAGTGGATATGAACCATATAATATAGGATGAACACTAAAATCTATAGTCCTAAAGAAGCTAAAAAACAAGGAGAACTTCAGGGAAGAGGCTTAATCCTCATTCAGAAGTGCAAACAGGACAGACTTAGGAAGTAAGTGAGCAAGACAGTAGTCTTCCACAGGGGGCTTCTGACAGACTCTACCAATTAGGGTATCAAAGCAGATGCTGAGACTCATAGCCCAACCTTGGGCAGAGTAGAGGGAATGTTATGAAAGAAGGAGGAGATGGAAAGACCTGGAGGAGACAGGAGTTCCACAAGGAGATGAACAGAGCCAAAAAATCTCTGGGTTCAGGGGTTCCTAGAGAGACTGATGCATCAACCAAGGACCATCCATAGAGAAGACCTAGCACCTCTGCTCAGATGTAGCCCATGGGCAGCTCAGTCTCCATATGGAATTCCCTAGTAAGGGAGCAGGGCTGTCTCTGACATGGACTCATTGCAGGCTCTTTGACATCTGCCTGGCACAGTGGTGTAACTAGACCACATAATAAGAGGATCCAGGCAGTCCTGATGAGACCTGATAGGCTAGGGTCAGATAGTTATGAAGAAGGGCCTCCTCTATTACTTGAATAGTGGAGGGAAATAAGGAAATAAGGAGGGTGGAAGAGCAAAGAAAGGTGGAATAAGAAGGAGATGAGAGCCAGGATACAAAGTAAATAAAGTGTAATAAATAATAATAATACATTTTAAAACCCAGCAAAACGTATTTGCTTTCAGAATATCTTCAGGGGTCCATTGTGTAAAATGACAGTATTGGTGTTTAACTGTAATTAAAAGGCATGCTTTAGGTACAAAACTACTGTCACTGGTTCAGTTAAATGTGCACTTTTATTTCTTTTATGAGAGATATACATATGAAAAATACTTATTTTATTTTTTATTCAATAAGAAATAAAAAAATTTCTTATTGAACCTATTGTTATGAAAAGGTTGGACAGCTAGATATTGTTGACATAAACTTGATGCTGATTAAACATAGTTCTTCCAGGTCTCTTTCATCCAATTCCTCAGCAACATATTCTTGAGAATGCCTTGATGTAAAAACTTCTGCAATTCTGGGTAACATACTGAATTTTACAATATATAAGATAGCGTCTTTGCAAAATCTCTTATGTCACAGTGATGATATTGAAATACAATGGAAAGAATATTACCTGCCAAGGGAAGAACACCATCTCTTTTCTGTTTTCATATGGTTGCATTTGTACTTGTTTAAGCCACATCTCATGGAGACTGTGAGCCACAACATACACGGCTTTGTATATATTGTAGCTCTCTTCACTCATGGACACATCAAATATGTGTCTAGGTAATACATTCAGAGAAGCATTGGCTTGACAGTTGTCCAAAAGTTGACAATCAATTTCAGAAAATGAGCACTTAAAGAACAAATACCACATTTTAGGAAGATAAATGTCTTCTGGGTATCTGTAAGGAGTAACTGTTTGAATAAAATTGGTAAACTCAAAACTTTCCCTGTAATGGTGGGTAAAAATGAGGCTCCCATGAAATGAGTCTAACATAAAATAATCAGCATGAGAAGTAACATCCTGTTCAAAGTTCATGACCCACACTTTCCATGTCAATAACTTTTGCCCAATACTTCTCATCAGACCTTGTAAAGAATCAATGTCACCATGAATAATTATCACATTTGCAGATGATTCCTGGATCTCATCAATAAATTTCCAGCGCTTGTTAAAATATAAAGTCCAGGTGGTTGGGATCATCTTCACAAAAGCTATGCAGATTCTTTTTCTTTCCATCTCATCTCTGAAATCTGATAGGATTTTATTCCCTTTGTGGTCATCTGGGAAGATGAGACCAACCCAGGACCAACTAAAATGAATCAGCAAAGAGACAATGCCAAGTGAAAGAGATGTGTCCTTGGGGGCCATCTGGTAGAGGGAAGAATACTGACTTCGGTCACTCAAGAGAGGATCATAAGGTCCAAAAGAAAGCTGAGCCAAATTGGAAAGAAGAGGAAGAATATTAATATCAAACACAATAATGGTCCTAGGGCCAAAGATGACAACAGGGGGAAAATTCTCATTTCAAAGGCAAATTCCACTTACACCATTTTGCAGAAAGTCTTACCAAGCCTGTATGCTTCAAGGACCTACCTGATTTCATTCAATTCACATTCCGTTCTTTCAAGCAAGAGAAATATGGCATGATCACCATGCCTGGGTACTGGCGTTAATAGTTGCATAATTCAAGTATTCCCCTTTTAGTTTTTCAGACACTTATAATATATATTTAAAAAAAGCCTGATTCCCAGGTTTCATCCTTTACATTTTCTCACCTGAGGAAATTTAAAGAGTTGTAGCAATGTCCCAATGTAGGCAGATGTTGTCCATGATGTGCCTGTGAGTGCAGCAGTAAAATTTCTCTTTTTACAGTTGTAATTAGGTAAAATGTATCTTCGACTGTGTGCTGTGAGCCACATACAGGCATTCATAAGAATGTCCTTCTCAGTGAATCGGACATTGTAGAAATCAAATCCAATAGATATGTTGGGTAAAAGATTGGGGTTCCCATTGATCTCTTCAATGGCAAATACCATAGCCAGAACAAACTGGTAATTCTTAAAATTATACCTGTGAAAATTGCACAAAATAAACAAGAGGAGGACCACATAGAGCACACGTCTGCATATTTAGTCTAATAACTTTTATATTTCAACTTTGTTTCTACAAAAAGTGTTTTTTAATTTTTTTTCACCATGAATGGATAGATCTAAAATGGGCACCTCTTTTAAGATTAGGCAAGATCCTATATCATTACCAGTCATTACTCGTAATTCCTCAAAGCATGCTTTATTTTTTTATTGATAGGTACAATAAAAATTTTATCTACATATCAAAAATTAGATAGCAGATCTGCTGGTATCTGATATAGGCCTTTCATGCTCTTTAATCATTAAAAGTCACTATTTCATTATTTTTCAAATCAGTTTTAGTAACAATGTCTTAATTAAGTAATACTCCAAGGTTAACTTATTCTATACATGGCCAATGTTGCCATTTCTCTGACACTAGCTTTTGTGGGGATTTTTTGAGGCATCCTGGAATTGAGCATATAATATACTGGCATTCAACTTACAGAGAAAATCCTGTATCTGCATCTGTATTTATATGATTAAAAGAATATAGTATGACACCTGTTATATGTTTATCCTTCTGTATAATTGTGATGTTTGTGTATGTCACTTGTATGCATCTGTGTCTCCCTATGTGTACAGATTTGTGGAGATCAATAAGTATGAATACAAGACAGGACAACTTCCAGATTTAGTCCTAGCTATTCACATTTTCACAAATATTTTCTATTATTTATTTATGTGTTTCATTAATTATGTGTTTGATCAACTGCTTATTTGTTTGCTTGCTTGCCTGCTTACCTGCTTGCACAAAAATTCCTACCTATCTCTCTCTGGTATGTCCACTCAACAAGGCTCCCCCGAAGATATCTGGCTCCTCAAATCTTGTTTTTAGAATAACACATTGCATATGTCTCCAAGTGGGTTCCCTAGTAAGGGGAACTTGGACTGTCTCTGACATGTAGCTGGCTCTTTGATCACCTCCCCCTGAGGGGGGAACAGCCTTATCAGTCCAAAGAAGACAAAGAAAACAGTCCTGATGACACCTGAAAGAGTATGATCAGCTGGAAGGGGAGGAGGACCACCCAATTCATTGGACTGGGGGAGGGGCATAGGAGAAGAAGAGGGATGGAGGATGGGATTGGGTAGGGATGGGATGGCTACAGCTGGGATACAAAGTGAACAAACATAACTAATAAAAAGATAAAACAGATAAAAAATAGAATACCATATTGCATATTTCTCTGCACAGAAAACTTCTAGAGACTCTTCTGTTTCTGTTTCCTGCCCTTCATGTGATCATTAAAGTACAGGCATGCACTCATATATTTTTTGGGAGATTTTCACTGAAATATTCACATTTGCACTTGCAGTATTCTCCTATTTTAACCACCTCTTCACCTGTATAATAATAACTCATGTGACAAAATATCTTTTATTCTGAAAGGTCCCAAATCCACACTTAGATAAAAGCATGATTTCATTTCACATCATGCTTAAGCTTGATGTGATTCATTAAGCTACTATTGTATAAATTGTTCTTCTTTCACAAGGCTTAAACATCTTAGCTGATGAGCAGTGGAAAGGTTTTAAGAAGGAAGGCTATGAGTAACTGCTATGAATGATTCCTAGACACAACAGGGAAGTAATGCTTATGATCTCATTGTACGGTAACAAGTAAAAACCTGTTCATTCTCAAGTGAGACAAAATACCAGCCTGGACAGTAGAAGTAGGCACAAATGCAAACCAGGAGCAAAGAGGGTATTTGTCCTAGGGTTTTCTTGCTGTGAAGATACACAATGACCATGGTTACTCTCATAAGGAAAAACATTTCATTGTGGCTATCTTAGTTTCAGAGGTTTAGTTGATGTTTATCATTGGGGCTAAGCTTGGCAGGGGTCAGACACACATGGTCTTGGAGAAGGAGCTGCTAATTCTAAATCCTGAATGACACACGGGAGAAGACTGAGATACACTGGACAGACCTGACCTTCTTATACCTGTAAACCCAACAACAGGGACACACTTTCTATAGCAAGGCCACACCTACTCCAACAAGGCTACACTGCTTAATAGTGCCACTCATTATGGGCCAATCATTCAAACACATGAGTCTGTGCCAGTTATTTCTATTCAAAACACCACAGTGTTGGAACTTGATAACTGTGGGAGAGGAAGAGTCAGTTTTCTTCAGTCATCTGACCCCTGTTAAGCCAATCATATTTTAGTATGGTTCCACCCTCATAATACTTGAACAAGACACAGTTGACTTGACTGCAGAAAAAGAATTAAATTTAAAATTTGGCAGGGATATAGATGAAGACAGAAAAGTTGAATATAGATCTAGATGGGAGATTTGTCAATGTAATCAATATAACAAATTGTTTATAAATGTAAGTATATTGTGGTTAAATTTTGTATGAAAACAATATGAGGTGTAGCTGGAGAATGGGTTCAACATTTAAGAGTGTTTCTTTCCAGAGAACTCAGACATCATATTAAACTCAGACATTATATTAAACAGGCTGCACCTATCCAAGACTATATCTCCAGAGGATTCAACACCTCTGCTGGCCTTTTTAGTCATTACCATAAAAGGGTCATACAGTCACAAACAAACACACTCAAGTAAATGAATAAATAATAGTCTTAGTAATGAAAATAATATGAAAAGTAGCAAATGGGGTACTGAAATATAAAGAGAAAACAAGATCAAAAACATGGCAGCTGGGTTATATACTCATTGGTCCTGTTACCTATTTGTATGTATGTTTGAGATTTACTATTATGTCATTTTTGAATGCATGTATTTGTTTTGAAAATAAATTTATTTTGTATTTGATAGATGAATAAAGTTATTTGATAACAGAAATTATTAAAAATTGTAAACATTATTCTTTAAAAGAAAGTAGACTAATAACATTTTTTGTTTATTATTATTAGTTACATTTTATTAACTCTGTATCCCAGCTGTATCCTGCTCCCTTATTCCCTCCCAATCTCACCATTCCTCCCTCAGCTCCTCCCTGCCCCTTTCCAAGTCCACTGATTGGGGAGGAACTCCTCCCCTTTCTTCTGGCCCTGTTTTATCAGGTATCTTCAGGACTGGCTGCAAAGTCCTCCTCTGTGGCCTAGCAGGACTGCTCCTCCCTTGGGGGGGGGGGAAGTCAAAGAGCCTGCCATTGAGTTCCTGTCAGAGATAATCCCTGTTCCCCTTACTATGGGAAACCAATTGGTTATTGAGCTACCATGAGCGTCATCTGAGCTAAGGTTCTTGGTTATATCCATACATAGTCCTTGGTTGGAGAAACAGTTTCAGAAAAAAACCTTTTGCCCAGATATATTTGGTCCTTGTGGGGCTCCTATCCTTTCCATGTCACACTAACTCCCCTTCTGCTGAAGGTTTGGTTATGAGTCTTAGTATCTGTTTTGAAATGCTGCTTGGTAGAGTGTTTCAGATGCCTTCTTCGGTAGACTCCTGTCATACATCCAATGGACATCCCATTTGTCTTTCTCAGACAATTAGGAATAATGCTTCCTCAAGACCCAGCTAGACCATTGCTAGATATATACCCAAAATTTGCTCAAGTACACAACAAGGACATTTGCTCAACCATGTTCGTAGCACCTTTATTTGTAATAGCTAGAACCTGGAAACAACCCAGATGTCCATCAACAGAGGAATGGATACAGAAATTGTGGTATTTTTACACAATGGAATACTACTCGGCAATCAAAAAGGAGGAAACCATGAAATTTGCAGGCAAATGGTGGGATCTAGAAAAGATCATTCTGAGTGAAGTATCTCAGAAGGAGAAAGACAAACATGGTATATACTTGCTTATATAGACGTACAAGATATGATAAACATAATGAAATCTGTACACCTAAAGAAGATAAACAAGAAAGCAGACACGGGGTAAGATGACCAATAACATTTTTAAAAAATATATTATTCACTGGAAAAAAATAAATTAGAAAAATGTTCAATTGTGAGGAATAGGACAAATGTGAGTTTTTTCTCACGTATAAACATTGTATATTTAAATGTATGCCTATATAAAATGAAGATGTATATGTGCATATATATATATATAAAATTTTGACAATTCCATACATGTGTCATTATACTACAGATAACAATCACTATTTTTATCTTACACCAAGCAAATTAAAAAAGCTTGAAATTGCCAATCACAAAGCAATCATAAGTGGTCTTATGATTTAAGCTCATAGATTTGGTAAATCTCTTTTTGAAAACTAATAGTATAAAATAAATACTTTTGAAAATGAAAACTAGTTTTATCATTTTCCTTTCTGAGATTATAATATAATTTTGAGATTATAATATAATACAATATGATATAATATAACATAAGAGCACCCCTCCTCTTTTTGCTATGCCAGATCTTATACACCCCCTTTGTCTTCTTTTTTGCACATTTTTCTTTTTTCTTTTTATTAATTACACTTTATTCACTTTTTATCCCTCCATAAATGTCTTTTTAAATTTATTCAACTCTTCTTTCTGTAATTGCCTAGGAAGACTCAAATCTACACACAAAAAAAGTGTAGCTAACTAAGAAATTCTTTAAAATAATTTGCCGAAGACATAACATTCTTCCACAGGGAAGAGCACACCAATTGGTTATCCCCTACCAAACGTTCAGCTCAGAAAAAAAATGTGTATATATATATATATATATATATATATACACACACACAAGTACCAAAATACAGACTGAAAAGTTTTTTAAAGACTGAACATAATTTTAGTAGAGCTTATATTCCAAGAGAAAGACAGCTTTCAATATGAACAACTACCCAGAGAAAAATGGACATGAAGATAATTAAGCCATGGTGCTTGGTAAGGCAGGCTATGATCTCAGATATATGATGGACTAGCAGTCACAGTAAGGTTAGACTTAAATAACATAGAGCATCTCACAGCATCACAAAAAGGCTCTCAGGTTTAGGACAGCATTCAAAGAAAGACC